ACCCCTGTGCAAAGACAGGGTTTGAGCAGTGTCACCAATACAGGAAATAAACTCTCCAACCAGAGGAACAGGTTAGAAACTGACGTGACTTTATTACGGTACCAGGTGTATGAGGGATTGCTCTGCCTGTCACACCGTGAGAGGAGGCAGTTCACAGCTTATATAGCTTTGTTATACACATAGTCGAATAACTCCACAAAATGCAGACCCAATTCCTCGCTGCGTAAGCTAATTTGGATAGATAAGGCTGGGGGCACTGTGAATTTCAGGAGTGGTCTCTGGGGGTCATCATGGTCATCTGGGGAGGAATACCCCTGTTCAGTTCACCCTTTGATGGAAATCTGTTAGTTAAAGACATTGGAATGCATTCAGTCTTGCAATTAACTGCATGTTCTTGTTTGGGCTAACTTCCAACCCTGAGAGGCTCCTCTAGCTGTTTTCTTTAGCAACTTTCTCAGGCCTTACCAACAGAAGGAAGGCCAACACTGATTTGAGAGAAGACATCTGGTCCTCTTGTCGCGTGCCTTCCTTATCCCTGTAGGCTTGTCCATGTCTAAGTCTCTATACACAATGAAATACTAACTTCATTCGGCATCATCAGGTGCCCCTGATGAGCTCCTGCTCCCACATAACCCTTTCCTGTAGTGACCCTAAAGGCTTCTTCCTCACCCCTGGAGCAAGGGAAGAGAACAAAACTCCTGTCAAGCCCAAAGCCCCGTTTCGGCAGGTAACCTTCCCGCTGCGCACTGCCGCAGGCCTGAGAGGCAGCTCCTAGGAAAGACAGCCCCCCTGCTCCCCTCCTTCCCTTATCCCAGCTCCCTTCCGGCCTCACGCACCGGTGGATGCACCAGGACTCGAGGTGCCGCAGGGATTTCTTGTACAGCCGCAGCACCTTCTGCTGGTGCGTCAGGTACGCCGCCATCTTGACTGCCCTCCCCCTCACCTTCGCGCGCGGGGCCTGGCGGGAAGGCGGTGGAGGCAGCGGCCGCCGCGCGGGGGGTGACGGGAACGTGGAGGACGCCGCGCTTCAGCAGCCACCGCCTGAGCCGCCACAGCTTCAAGCGGGGCCTCCGCCATGAGTCGAGCCAAGTTCATCGGTGAGGGGATTGCGGGGCGGGAGTAAAGGGGCTGTATCCGGGCTCTGTGTTCCCGGTCGGGCTGGTTACCTCGCCCCGGGTCTCTCCGTACCATGCCCGGTATTGGGCTGAGTTAGCCACCGCCTGTGCCCGCCGCTCCGCTCTATGAGGGGCTGAGCGCTGCGGGCGGGGACCGCTCTGGTGACCTGGCTGCCCGTCATGCAGGGCTTGTCACCGCCTGCAGTCCCTCTCGGTGTCTCCGGGCTGGCTTTGAGCTTACAAGAGGTGTTTGAGAACGGTTCTGCCATCGTGGGGCACTGAGGAGCTGCTCTGTGGCTCCTCTGTTATCCGTGAACGAGGGTTTCTGGGTACCCCTCACCTCCTTTTCTCGTTGTCGCGTTAGTTGTGGTTGTTTCTAGTTGCATGGAGTTGGGTGAAAATGTTCTTTAGAAATGAGGCAGGAAATACGTAAATAACTTCAGAAGGTCGGTGCAGGTTGAAGCTTTACGTGTGGGAGAAAAGCCTAACACTGGAACGTTTCCCTTCCCACTAGAAACCGCTTTACAAAGGTAGCTTTGGCAGCTGCAGAGGTGGGTGTGCCCGATTCCCGGCTACAGCCCTGATCGGGGAGGCTGCAGCACGGGGAGAGCCTTGGAGGCCAAGAGAGAAGGGGCTGGAGCAGCTCAGACCGGTGACTGCATTGCAGGTGTCCCTGGTGCTGCTCACACTGGGTGTCCTGGGCAGAAGGGAGAGCAGGCAGCTTTGGTAAGGCAGTCTGCTGCCGCTCCTGCTGAGTGAAGGTTGGATGTATGCGAAGTCGCTTAGCTTTATATGGCCTGTGATAGTTGGGGTTGTTAAGATACACTTTCCATTGCCTTCCCTAGTTGGCTGGTGCTCTGAATGAAATCATACAGTACCAGGCTGGAAGGGACCTCAAGGATCATCTGGTCCAATCTGATTTGATGATCTTAAAGGTCTTTTTCAATCTAGTTGATTCTATGATTTCTGTGAATCTTTCCAGGCAAAGCATGACCTAGAGTAGATGTCCTAGCAGCCTGTCCAGCCAAATGTTAAGCATTCAGTGTTGGGGAATCCACCACTTCCCTGTGGGGATTATTCCCGTGGCTGGTTGTTTTTGAGGAAATTTTCCTCTAGTATCAAACTTGTCTAAGTGTGGAGTGACCATAACATCAAATTGCTGTCTTTGTTTTTTTCATAGATATTGGTATTAATCTGACAGATCCTATGTTCAGAGGAATCTACAGGGGAACACAGAAACATCAAGGTAAACGTTTCTTTGTGCCTGCTCAAACACAGGATCCCTCTCATTAAAATAGAACCTTTTAATGTCAGAATGTGAGGTTAGAGGGTTGGGGTTTTTTTTTCCTCCTCAAAACTGAGATGCTTGTTTATTCTAGGCTTGAAGAAGAACTTGAGACAAAATAAACTAGATGATCTGAGCAAAACACATTCTCTTAATTGCTGTTAAGCTGTTGTAGAGGGAACGTGAATTTTAGAGCAAAGTGGACAATTCTGATCTGTTCATATTAAGGTTGCATGGAAGAGTCTTAAGAACTGTGAGCTATAAACTACCAAAGCATTGCTGAATCATAGTTACTAATTATAACATCCTCTTTATTGCTCTCATGGCCTGTAGATACAGATGTAAAGCCAGACGGCCTCCTAAAGTATATGGAAAAGCTTCTATTGACTTCTTGGATTTAAATTGGAGCTTCAGTTATGGCATTTTGTTGTTGTCTTCTCAAGACCAATCAAACGTGGTTTAAAGATTCTTCATGATCGGCATTTTGGCTGCATGAAAGTGATTTTTAGTTGAAAAGTAGTTAATTATGCTGTTAAACCTACAGGTCAATTGATGACATTTTTGTGAACTTTCACAGATGACTTTTTGGATGTGGTGGAGAGAGCAGTCAAAGTTGGTGTGAAAAAGGTGATTTCTTATAACAAACTTTCTTTAATATTTTAAACTGCTTTATAATACTTTGGGTCTTTAGTGCTCCCCTATTCAACCAAATGTTTCTAGACCTTGCAGTGGAAAATGCAGTACATTGTTTTGATAGCATGAAGCAAAAGTGTTCTGTGCAAAGTGTTGCCTTTCATTTGCACAGATCATTATATGCTGATTATTTAAGCTCAGTGGTATCATATATGACATGTATGTAGAATTCCTTTTGTACAGATTCAACACAGGTGTTCTCTGACCTTCTGCAATCAACTAATGTAATTTTCTGTGCTAGTTGTATTATAGACAACCATTCCTTTCTCCTTTTATCCTGTGTGACACTCTTACTCAGCAGTTGCTACTATAGATCAAAGCAAAGTCTTCTGATTGAGATCCTTCAGATGTTTCTATATGTAACGGAAATGGGTAACTGCAGAATTGCTGGGAGTGCCCATAAATTCTAAACAGTTGAGACATGTGAGTGTCTGCTAGTAAATACTGTCCTAAGTATATTAAACCAGCAGTATTATGAGCAGTTTGGTTACTCTTAGCTGGAAATTAGTGTTTTCAGCAGTGCACCTCACTCCTGCAGTCACAGTAGTCCAGCCTTCCTGTATCTCTTTCTGAACTGAATGAATTGTCAAGACAGAAGTATGAATTACAGCAGAATACAACATATAATGTCACAAAGTGTTCTATGGCACTAATAAGGCTGGTGAGTTAGAAATAAACCCTCCTCTAGAAGAGGAACAGGGGTCTCAGAAGGTGCTGAAAGACTCCTCTGTAAAGATAAGTCTTTCAGATAGGAAAACCAGAAATTTCAGGTAGGAAATAAACAGGGAGACAAAAAGAAGTTCCCACACTGCAGCAGATACAGATACAAACACAGTAAAAGTGTATGTGTAAAGTATTGTTTGATATCAATACCACCATCAAAAATAGATCAGCTGCGTAACTTTTTCGAGATGCACACAAGATTCAGAAATGGAATTCTGGAGTTCCCTGTCCTTAGCTGGTTTCAGTCTTGCTACTGGCCTGAATGGTGCGAGAAGCCTATTCCATCCCACACTGTTTTCTACTTGCTTAGAAACTTAATCTATTCATTTGAAAATCCTTCTATTCTTCCATATAGGTGCTGATTTATGGTAATGTTTTGTAAAGTTTTGCCCTGTGCTGTATGTACACTGAGCCAGTTTCAGCTTAACTTATTTTACTGGTGTTACTGCTGGAATGTGTTTGTGAGTAGTGCAGACCTGTCTGTTGTATAGTAGGTGTAGGAATAAGAGTTGTCCAGAAGCAGTGTAGTCACGATTTGTTAGGACTTAGGGTGCAAGATTCTGCAAGTGGTGGTTCGAAAATCACTGTAAGCAGCAGTTCTGGTGTAATAACATTTGATCTTAAGGTAAAAATAAAAGATCAGAGCCAGAAACTCTTAAATTTGTAAGCCTGACTCTGATACAAAGTCCTTTGTTGGTTTATCTACTTGCTCATGTCTTGTTATGGGATTTTGGGAGTTTTTAGTTTCTCCACCTGTAAGACAGAGGGAATGTTTCCGAGTGTCATTTCTTGAATGCAAGTAAAGCTTATAGAGTTGTTGTCTACTGAAGTTGTTGCTGCAAATAGAAATATTTTACTCCTTTAATGGTTTAAATACTTAGTGTAGAAGATATTTGATAAAGAAAAAAATGATGTTTTGATAGCTAGTGTATTTATTAGCTCCTGAGGACCACTGAGATTTGTTACTGATTTATGCAATTACTATATATACATTAGCAATTGTCTTCTGATGTTCTCTGTCTACATTCTTACTTACATCTGAGTGTTTTCTTAAGCAGTCTGTTTGATGTTCACAGAAGAACATACTCGCTGACAGTACTTTTCTTCTTCCAAGTTTTTGATTACAGGTGGGAGTCTACAAGACAGTAAAGATGCATTGCAGCTGGCACAGACAAATGGTATTTTCACTTTAAACTTGCCTTGTCAGTCAAAAATAGAATCTTCTCTGCTCAGAATTAAGAGTTCAAAAGGACCCATCCCTGGAGGTGTTTACAGAATCTCAGAGTAAAATGGGAAACTATTTCAGAATGGGCTGAATGCCTTGTGTGGGAGTGGCTGTATGTTGCTCTTTAGATCCCTGGCATTTGGAAGGAATCCTTCATTCCTGCAATTTCTATTTCTAGATAACAAAAGAAATTGCAGGGAATTTCTGGAATAAAAATTTTGTTCCAAGGCTGTCTTCTAGAAATAAGCTGTGTGGAATGTGTGCTTTTGGTGGGGTTTTGTTTGGTTTTTACTTACCAATCTGCCATGACCAGCTTGAACAAGAGAGGTGTCTTCATGCTTTTCTTGCCTCTCCTTTTCTTGCTGTGGAAAGGAATGCATCTCTTCTTTTTTTCCTTAGGCAAATACCATTCCACCAATTACTTAAAATATGTATTTGAACTAAAACACATGTTAAGGTACTATTTATGAACAGAACGATAGAATAATGTTGGTTGGAATGAACCTGAGGAGGTAATTTCGTTGTATCCAATCCACTTCCCCACTTCTATCAAAGCAAGGCTAGCTTTAGTATTAGGTCAAGTTGCTGGGGCCTTATCCAGTCATTTCCTCCCCCCTGTTCTTTTACATTCTCCATAAAGGTACTTAGCAGGAATGTTCCTTTTGGCACTAAGAAATTGAGATTAGATACTTTGATAAATCAGGCTGGATGTTTGTGGAATTCTGTAACAGCTAATGTAGGGCACACAAGGGAAATGGCATGATGGCTGCAAGTCTTCCAGCTGAGGATAATCTGAAGCATTATGAATGAGACGTATTTCTAGATCTCAAGAGGTCTCTTCCAACCTTGACAATTGTATGATTTATTGAGGGTTGCTCCACCAGAATAATTCAGCTTTGAGTTGCCCTATTGGGAGTATACTAAATAATGTGTACTAAAAATCCACACAGCCCCACTAGAGATACTGTCTAGATAGAGATACTATCACCAAGATAAAGATGTTCAAAGAGAATTTTCTTTTAAAATGATGAGCAATGGAAGTCCACACACAGATACTGTCTATACCTTATATAGTTATTTATTCTTCCTTAAAACCTAATACTGTGTTGCTGTAGATGTGTTTTACAGTACAGTTGGCTGTCATCCAACCCGCTGTGGAGAATTTGAGCAGAGTGGTTCTGAACAGTATTTATCTGAATTAAAAAATCTGATTGAAGAAAACAAGAAAAAGGTGATAGCAGTTGGAGAATGTGGCTTGGGTAAGCGTTAGCTCAGTAATTAAAGTATTTATTTTTTTAGACATGTATTAAAACAATTCTAAAACACTAACTGGGGTTTTGTGTTCTTTCTATTTGTAGATTTTGATAGATTAGAATTTTGCCCAAAGGACGTCCAACTCAAGTAAGAAACTTTTGATGACTATACATTGGCTTGTATCAATTTTCAGCAGTACTTTCTCTTGTATTCTACCATGTAACATTTTGGCAGGTGCACACCTGCAATTGGCAGGGTTGGTGATGGTTTTTTATGGCAGAACTGGGACTTTGAAAGAAGGATGCCTACATTCCAGTAGTGCCGTGTGCTAAATGTTGTTACCTGTCTGGTGCTGATTGAACATGTCTTTTTCTGTTAAATTAATCCAAATTTGTAGATTTCTGTGTGTGACAGAGGTTAATTCTTGTTGATAATCAAGAATACTTAGAAAGTCATGGGGAAGATTTCCATGTTTGAGGTGGGACCAGATGAGCCATGGTGGTTCCTTCCAATCTCAACCATTCTGTGTTTCTGTGAAAATAACCTAAGTGTAGTGTGTGAGAGAAGAATTGGGTTGTTGAGGGAAAAGCACAGGGAAGGGAACAGCACTGTCAAAAGGATAAATCAGCAGTGAAAAAAGCCGGGTAGGGGTGGTCTTAGCTGGGAGCATGTCATTGAGAGGTGGTGATAAAGGTGATTTAGGGAGCTGGAGAGATCTGTCAAGTAATACATGCAATGTAGATACTGAATGAAAAGAAGCAAGCACAGCCCCTCAGGTCAACTTCTGTTCTTGTACTGAGAACCTCTCTCTACAGAGGGAACTGTCTGAAAGATACAAGTGATAAATTCAAGATTAATTATACTGCTCTAAGTGAGTCAGTCACTGGGGGGCAGTGCTTGGTTGTATATTTTTCTCCAATTGCCACATGTTAGCAGTAGGTAGAGTTAATTTCTTCATAATGTTACAGTTGTACAGTAGAATATCCAGCAAAGTGGCCAGAACTTCTGTTCCTGGCACAAGTCAATGTGCACAAAGATCAGCAAAGCATGTCTTTGTTTCTTTTCTGTGGCAAACTGAAACTCTGGTGGAGTATTGTATTCTAAGATCCTTACTGCCTTGATGTTATGGAAAGAAAAAATAAGATCTGATTTTCCTTGTCCAGGAGGCTGCAGCTGAAGACCTGTAGTGAAAATCTTCAAATCAGGCACATTGGAATTGGGTTGTGAGGAAAGAGGTGACAGGGTAGAACAGAAGTCACTTGTAAAGGGGTAGGTGAGTCCTTTCTAATTAAGATTGGTAATGATAGAAAGTCTTTACCTGAGCTATTTCAGTAAATCATATGAAATCAATGAATCTATTTTCTAAGATATCTTATTGTGAGCCCTTGTTGGACATTGAGCTGGAAGGAAGTGATTGACTGAAAAAACCCAGAAAGCAAGAAATATGAGGGAGTGAATAAATATGAGGCCAGATGCTTGCAAATACTTGTTTGTGAATTTCCTCTTTTCTACATGGACAGCTTCCCCTGCTCTTCACTCTCCATCTGTGTGTGAAACATGGTCAAGGTTTCAGGTTGGCGAGTTCTTCAAATATAGGCTTGATAAATCAGCTAAAATAAGGAAGGTGAAGTATGCAGTGCATGGAGGCATTCACTGTTTCCAGCTGGCCCATCATTCAGGTGGAGCAGTTGCTGGGGTAGGCAGCAAGCAGCTATCTAGGAGAGAGGTATGGCAGTTTCCCTGTGAGTGGTATCTGGGCATGGCCCAGATGCTGAACCCAGAACATCTGTTTAATGGTTAATCATTATTTTCTAGTTACTCTGTGTTTTCTTCTGATAATTTTTCACCGGTGAAGATTTTTTTTTTCTTGAATTTAAAATTAATAAAGATGAGAAGCAAATAAAGATGAAATTCCTTTGTTGAAGCAGCCCAAAGAACTTTTCTTTCTCAGAATTATTCTCTGTTCTTATAACTTTTCCAACAAACAATAGTGATTTTAATGGTAGTTAGAGGAAGTTACTGCCTTTATGTTATGGTGAAGGTCACATTATAAATGGACTGGTAAGTACAGAGAAGTTTCACATCTGCTGTACTCTCAGGAGGGCTTTGTGGGGTGTAGCAACACAGAAATGGGAGTTTTCTTAACCAAATTGGAAGGCGTGAGCAGTATCACATGCACTGCTCTTCATCCACGAATCCAGGATGGTTTGTGTGGAGATCTACCTCAGCAAGGCCAGTTTGCTTCAGCTCCTTCAGTACCTTGATCCCAAATCTGAAAATACCACACCATTTGAATGTGATGGTCAACACTAAACCTGCAAACAGCCATGCAGAACTGTTTCAAGCTTCCTTACTGAGAACCAATACAGAACCAGCAGGCACTGAGTGACACTTTGGTCATCCAAAGAGAAAAGGTTGCTCCTTAAGCACTGGGACTACTAAGGTTTAGTTTCTAAGTTTCTTTTAGTTACTTTTGTTAAGTAGTTTCTTTAGTTTCTTTTGTTACTCTGTTACCACTCTGATCACCCTGTATCTGGGGGTTTTGTGCTTTTATAGGGTTTCTCTTGGCTTCCCCCCTCTTTTTCTCTTACAGCTTCATTTTTGCTAGGAATGGAAGAAGCCTGAGTTGCTTTTGCATTTGTAGGGGCACTAAACTTTGTACTTCAAGACCACTGCCCTATGGCAAATAGGTTACGTGGGGGTTTTATTTGCAGCTCAGTTTCTAAAACCTAGTTTCCATATGAAAAATGTCTTCTGTTTAAAAACCCCACCAATAATCAGGCAATTGTAGCTATTTAGCCGCAAGAGCAATCATGGGTTGCAAATGACATTTATATTTGGTCAAAGAAGCTGAACTAAGCACAGTGTCTAGACAAAGATTCAAAGTAGGTTTAATTTATTCTTCTGAATTCTCATGACAGTTTTGAAGGTTACAGCCAATTTGTTCCACCTATTTTATCTCAAAGATCTGCACTGATGAACAGGGCAGGTAACTTATAGCAGAGAAACTGGAACTGACAGTACACAAACTAATGAAATTTCCACAGAACAAATCACACTGTCGTTTTCCTTCAGGAAAATGTGAATCAAACTGATGTTTTGCTGCCATTCTCTCCTCACTGACATATGAATTGTACACCGCAGTGTTGTAGATGCTTGAGTTTGCCAATGGAATGTGACTGATCCCAGTGTCCTGGACTGCTTTTAACAGCAACACCTCATAAATTCCCATAGGTGCGTAGTGTCCTGGCCTGTTGGGACAGGCAGTGTTGTTCTGCCCACATAATGTCATCTCAAATTAAGTATGGATTGAGTCACCTGTGCACTGGGGCCTTCTGCCTCACATGAGTTTCTGTGCTGTGTTTCTGAGTGTTGGTAATTTGCATGCCAGGGCAGACAGGCTCTGTCAATGATAATGTGCTTGAAGCAGAGCTACCTGCAAATGACAAGTGAGGGGTTAGTTCAGTGTGAGCTGGCTTCCTTTGGAAACTGCTTGGGGAAGCTGGCCACCAAGTTACCTTCCCCCTGCCCGCATTTTAATGTCTCCTCATAGGATGGCTGCCTCGCTGCTACCACTCCTTCGAAGGGAATATTCAAATAGGAATAGAAAGTAGGAGAGAAATAAAATGGAGTGGAAAGGAAAGGTTGCAGGTACACAGAGGAGGGAAAACAGGAAGACTGCAAGAGTGAAGACAGGCAGAATGGGGCAGAAGTAAGATGGCTAATACTGGTATTTGTTTTACCCCAAGAGAGCACAGACTTCATCTGTTTGTCCCCATGGAAGGGCAGACAGAAACTGTGGACTGCTACTGTACAGCCCAGCCAGCCTCGATGCAGTGTGGGCTGTCTGAGGCTATAGAAGTCTGTGTGGGTCTCCCTCACTCACCCTTGCCCCATTTACAAATGCTTCTTGAAATACTGTTCTCTGTGTGCTCCACGCTCTTCCGTTCCTGACATTTCCAAACTTTGTGGACAGAACAGTCAGTTCCTTGTTCATTAAAAGTAAGTAAGCCCAGACTCCAGCACCCAGACTGCAAGATTACATGCTCAGCACACGTATATGTGCATCCTTTGGTATTGATGCTCTCGGCCACCTTATCTGTCTTCCAGCACTGATACGTGACTGCACCGTGAGAAAGAGCTCCTTTCAAGTCCCTGCACAAATTAGAGCTTTGGCATGGCAAATCCATTCATTCTGTCTTTAGCTCTGGAGGGCAAGAGCTGGAGAAAACTCTTCCACTGTCGTTATTTGCTCTTAAAGGTGATTTTTATTTTACAGGTATTTTGAAAAGCAGTTTGAGCTGTCAGAGCAGACACAACTGCCCATGTTTCTCCACTGTAGAAACTCACACGCTGAATTCTTAGGTGAGTTTTCCTTGAGAATTTTATATTCAGAGCAACTTCTGAATACGAAGAGCTGGGAAACCTGAATCGTTCACCTTTGTCTGTGTTAAAGCTGTCTTATGTTTGTATTTATTTCATTTCATAGACATAATGAGAAGAAACAGAGATAGATTTGTGGGAGGGGTGGTAAGTACGGCCTTCAGCAGAGCATCCATTTTTACATGCATGTGTGTGAATATTGTTGCTTAATATGCAGATTCTTGTTTGTCATGGAATCTGGGCTGGCTTCCTGTTACATGGTTTAAGTTATTATTAGTTAATGAGTATTTTCCAGTCCCTTCTAGTATTTTTATTGTCATGGCTTACTCAACAGCTCTTTATGCAAGGTAAGAAGATAGGCTGAGAAAAAGCCCTGCAGCTGACACGAGCAGTTTTTCTTGGCCTGTCAGAAGGACAGTTTAAGCACCTTATAATTGACATTGGCCTTGTCCCAACTCCTCAGTGTCTGCAATTGCAGTGCATTCAGACCACAGATAATTTACTTGCATGTTCCCTGTGGAAGCCATAACCTCAAACATTTGCTTCTGACATTAGACATCGTTTTCAAACTGGATCCAGATGTAACTTTTGATTACTTTATGTCTTTAGATATTCAGACTGTGTGTTTTAATTCAAAAGCATAACAGGAAAAACTTTGGATGAAATGGTTAGGAAAGGCCAGCAATGTTCTTTCAGGTTTCCCTTATGGCAGGGTTTTCCAAAAGCAGTAAATGCTTGGATTATTGTATCTAATCTACTGCCATCATGCCTCCCACAGCAGTATCTCAGGTTTCCCCTTTGTCACTACAAGCCACTTCCATCCTGAGCTAAGTACTGTGTATCCTTTTGGGTAACACTGTGCAGTCTGTCCTTCCTTTTCTCCTGCAAATCCTGTATGAGTGGAGAAGCGAAGAGCAGGAGCCTCAGAACTGCCCCTTGGCAGCGTGGGGGAGCTGACAGCGTCTACTCAGGCTGCGAAGCTGCAGTTCCCAGCTGTGTTATGCTGTTTGTGCCTTTTGGCTGGCCACTTGGCTCTGCAGTGCCTGGGATGCCCCAATACGCTGTCTCTTTAGTTCCAGTGGACTCAAATCTGGGGAGAATGTTACACTGCTCTTACAGTGTCCCTGATAGTGCCCTGTAGGGAATACTGAATGAAGACTGTAAACTATGAGCAAGTTCTGGGCCAGTAGTGGTAACACTGGACAGGCCCTTTCTACATCTATTTATCACTAACAAACCCTGGTAGCCACTGCTGCTGTAGTGTTCAAGTGCCTTCAGCCTGAACTTTGCCCAAGTTCATAATCGGCTGAGCCATGTCCCATCTTTGTGTTATGTGTCATACATACTATCAAGGGTATTTATGACACAAATAAAAACTAACATGTACTTTTAAATGATTGGAGTTGTAAATGAAGTACAAACATTGTATATATGTGTATATCCATTCCAGGTACATTCCTTTGATGGCACAAAGGAAGAAGCAGCAGCTATAATAGATTTGGATCTTTATATTGGAATAAATGGCTGGTAAGTTCTTCACAAGACATAAAACCATTCTGAAATGTCAGCAGCAGTGAACTCGTTGCTTTCTTTTAAACAATGAGGTCAGGGTTTCAGAGCTGGCTGGACTTTTAATCATCTGACAGATTTAGAATCCCGCTCATTAGTCTGTTAGCCATAAAAAGCTCTCAGCTCAGCGAGTTAATCTAGCCATGGGTGCATTCTGCTGCCCTCGGGTCAATCCTTGTTTGTAAATAAATAAGGTTGTCGAACCTGGAAATAGTCCCTCGGAGAGGTGTTTAGAAACCAGCTGCCATGTCAAACCTGGGAGTAATGCGGCTGTAACCTGAACAGCCTCATCTGCATTCTCAGCGCTCAGCTAACTGGAAGTGTGTGCCAAGTACCGGCGGTGCCGGCAGGGGCTGTGTGCTCCCTGCGGCGGGACGGCTTCACCCAGTCCATAGCTCTCCAAATCTGCCTTTTCCTGGGAAGTTTCAGTTTACAGGAAGCTCTTTAAATCAGATTTTATTCACTAACAGAATTATTTAGGCAGCTGCCTTTGCTGCAAAACATTGCAACAGGCAAATGACTTCTGCACACTTTTTGTGTTTGATTTTATTAACCAAACTCTGCTTTCCTAGTTCTCTGAAAACAGAAGCCAACTTGGAAACACTGAAATCAATTCCCAGTGAGCGGTTAATGATAGAGACGGGTAAGATTTTGTATCTTGGTCAGTTTGTGACTTAAGCACTGCTGGGTAATGAGATTTGCTTGTATAGCAATGATAAAGCAGAATCCAGATCCAGGGACTTTGGAGCAGAAACAGGACTGGCTGTTTCTCCACTTGGGAAAGCAGTTTACAGGCTCCAGAATGTTCCTTTTCAGCCTTCTGCTGGAAGGAAGGAGCTGCTGTGTCAGTTCTGACATTGCAGGGGAAGATGAAAAGGACAAATCATCAAGCCCAGAGTTTTTAATGAACCCAGAGACCAGAATCCTGCTTGGATAGCTGAAAATTTGGCTTGCTGAAGATGTGCCAGGCACAGGGCAGTGGCTACGAGCTTGCTACAGGTAGCAGTGATGGCATGTGGAAACAACTGCTTTTTAATGGGATAAGGTGGAGGAACACTTGAATTCCCCTCTGGCCCTCATGAACAGTGATTTCAGCTGACTGACTAGGGATGTTTGGGGCTTTTATGGCATGTTCATTTCAGTTACCAGTAACTGGCAGTTATAAATACAGTTTGTTTTCTGTAGCTGAGAAAGGAAAACCACAAACTGCCTAAATCCTTACTGAAGTACAGACCTGTTATATAGGAAGTTTGTATGGGACATATGCAGTGTATAGAGCTGTCCTTATCATGTCAGAGAGATCAGTGTCATGTACTATTGCTGCTGATTTTGTAAAATGTAAAATCAAAACCAAATTTGTGGAGATTGTGGAGAAATTAAACTGCCCAAATGTCTGCAGTTCCATTTTGAAGTGGAAGTCACTGCTAGAAAGAGATTGGTAGTTGGTTGAACTGCCTCATGCTATTATCAAATGATTGCATACTCTGATCCTTTTTTCTCACATGAACCTAGATGCACCTTGGTGTGGAGTGAAGAACACTCATGCTGGAGCAAAATACGTTAAAACTACATTTCCTACAAAAAAGAAATGGGAAGTAGGGCACTGCCTGAAGGACAGAAATGAACCCTGCCATATAATGTAAGTGTGCTGGTACACTGGTGTTTAAAATACTTCAAATCTCAGGGGGGGATAGAAAAAATCACAGAATCATGGAACGGTTTGGGTTGGAAAGGACCTTAAGATCATCCAGTTCCAACCCCCTGCCATGGGCAGGGACACCTTCCACTAGACTAGACTTCTCCAAGCCCCATCCAGCCAAGCCTTGAACATTCTTGCCAGGATTGGAGCAGCCACAGTTTCTCTGGGCAACCTGTGCCAGGGCCTCACCACCCTCACAGAAAATAATCTCTTCCTTATATCCAACCTAAATCTCCCCTGTTGAAGCTTGAACCCATTACCCCTCGTCCTGTCAATCAGCTCACTGGAAATGTAGTAAAGAGAAATGAATTCCAAATTTACAGAAACTGGTGCCCGGTGTTGCTTTGTAGGCTGTGGACAAATTCGTAAGTCTTTAATTTTCCCACTTCAGCAATTCTGGGTGTAAAAAGCTCCCTGAAAGTGGAACCAGTGTGGGTTTTATCTTTTCACTGCTACACTGGAGAAGGGGTTAAACCCTGTGAAGTAACATTGCTCTTGGTGATTGTTCCGATCGAGCAACACTGGAGCCGTGGGGGCAGTAGTGAGGCAGTGAGTGGTGCAGGTGCCTGTGCTGGCATCAGTGCCCGTGCCATGAATTGCTATAACGTGGTTTGTGGTTAGGGTTGTCTCTTCATTCTGCCGCTGTGCTTAAAAAGAACTGGTCCCATGAAGGTCAGATCTGAGTAACAGCAGTCAGTGTGCAGAACAGCGGCAGAAAACTCCAGGGGTTTTGGGCAAAGTACACAAACCACCTCCTGCTGCCTTTTCTTGCGCTTCCTCACTGAGGTGTGAAAAGCAAAACCATTCCGTTTTCTCCATTAAATAGCACCCATAGATGAAATGCCTGAATTGCACAACTGTTACTAAGGTCAGTGAATTGTGTCAGTGTGCTCAGTCGTCAGCTCCTTACAAGGAGGACAGTTTCTTGTGGTGTGGTATGTGAATACATTTGCAGCAAGCAGATTAAGCTCACAGCTCCACCCACCCAGGAGCAAAGCCCATGTACTTGATCAGAAATGGGATTTACTGCTGTGAAGTCTCATTGTCTTTCTATACAAAGCTGTTTAAGTTGCCTGTTTGGAACTAGCTTCTGAAATACTGCTTAGAATGGTGCTAAAGAATCCAGGTATTCAGTAAGGTGTCTCCAAAACAAGTTTAATTGAGAATTCTGTGGCTTTTTTGGGAGACCTGAAGAAACTCAGATGACAACTGATCATGCTAAAAGCATGGTTTACACAGTGACATCTCCCTGTGCTTAGATACACTTTAGGCAGTTACCTGGATTGTAGTAACTTTAAAACTGACTTTATTGTTGTTTTACACATATCGGCACAGAAGTGCTTTATGACTTTCTAGGGTCAGGCCAGTAGGGAAAAGATTCGGAAGAGAACATTTTTCTGACCACAAGTGGAGGGAGGGCCTCTGCTGCTGTTTTGTCGAGCCTGTTATGTGCTAACACCGCTCTGTGCCTTTGTCTGCTGCCTCAGCTGTAGCTAACGGGGTGTTTCAGAGACCCTGAGCTGGAAATGCAGGGAGGCTGTCCTGCAGCAGTACCCAACTGCTGTGCTTTGGCTTCTGCTGCCTTTTATAAAACAAAATCTTGTTTAGTCCACCCTGATTTAAAAAAGATTGTCCCATTAACGTCAATTGTAACCTGTACTAATTGTAGGTTAGTGACTTGAGAAACTCTTCAACCTTAGGAAACATCACGTATGGCAACTGAGAACTGCTGTTTTGTGGCTTCTAAAGTAGGAAGATGGGGCGTGAGGGGAAAGTCAGACCCAGGCCACAAAGGGTATTTCACGTTTAGGGTGTACAGGCTGTTTGATATAGCTCAGCTGGCAGGAGGAATTTTGCACTAGTCTTTTTTGGGTGGTGCTGGACACCTTTCAGTTCTGATCTTTAATACATTTTTAGAACTGCACTACTCCCCTTGCAGCTAAAATTAAGCAAACAAACAAACAAAGCTTTCAAGATGCTTTCCTTTTTCCTTTAGTGATTTCCTCTATGGTGATACAGTAACGTACAGCATCCTCCTGCATCCTAGTGGGGCTAATTATGAAAGCTTTACCAAAGCTCTTCAAGGGCGAATTCTTTGGTCTTTGTTATTTATTTCTGTGTAGGCCAGCTATCACCCTGTATCATATGGAGCATCCCCATAAATCGAGAAGCTGTTTGGCTGCAAAGCATGGGAAAGGTCAATGAAATGGGCTAAGTCTGCACAGAAGAAAGTACTTGCATACAGTAATTGCTAAGAGCAACTTTTTTCCATTAGTCTCCCTCAAAAGGATAGGCAAGATCCAAAAGTACCAAGCCCTACTACCAAGCTTGAGCTGCTTACTCTCTTCACCATGAAGTTTTTGATACACCACTAGAAAACATAATAAAGTTCAACACATCTTAGGAACCACTCAGAATATTCATTTTCTTCAGTGATACAAAACCAAGAAAATAAGCACAGAGGAAGAAGCGTGGCTTGGTTTTCTGTTACATGGTGTTAATATTACTCATCCCATTTTTCTTGCCTCCTATCCCTAGCTTGTTTCAAGGCTACAGGCCTTTTAAATTTGCTCATTTAATACTGACTGCAAGTATCTGAATGTGTTAATCCCAGTTAAGATGGAGAAGGGGGAAGTAACAGTAAGTCCCTTTGGCAGCTTTACTCTCAGGTAGGGCTGTAGCTGAAGCTTAAGCTTTGCCACAGACCAGTTAATTCATAGCACAGCCTTAGCCTTGAAAGGCTTCTGGGTTTCAGTCTGAAAAATGAAGACCATTGATAAAGACACCCACAAAATGACACTCTCTTTGAACCAGAAAGCCATTTAATTACCTCCAAACAAGTCAAAAGACCAAAGTTGAGTCTGTACCAGTGCACAAACAGTGTTCAGTGTGAAGGAAAGGGCAGTTAGTGACTTAGAAGTGAAGCTGTTTGCATAGCTGAGCCCCTGCTCTCTTGCTCTCAGCATAGGTTTGTATTCCAGGTTAATCTAAGTGACTTGTACATACACATGCAGCACTCTCCAGTATGTTCAGGTCTGAGTGTCAGTCTTCTAATACCAATCTTTCTTTTTTAGTCAAATACTGGAAATAATGTCAGCAGTAAGAGAAGATGACCCGCTTGAGTTGGCCAATACTCTATATAACAACACTATTAAAGTCTTCTTTCCAAATATATAAAGTTGTTTTTCTTACATTTATTCAGTACAACTTTACTAAGTATATTGCAAAACCTTAAAAATTATCTTATCTGCAAGTTCTTATTAATGGAAGCCAGTATGTAGCTTTATTTTTTTCCCTATGGTACAAGATTAAAGCTGCTTTTGAAAAGGTGGTGTCTGCATTGGTGCAGTTTCTCAGCCCTGTTTCCTTTTCAGCAAAATTGAGGATTGATTTCAAGGACAGCCCAAACAAGCAACTCCTGCTAACACCTGTAGACATTGAAAGATGCATACCAGGCTGCTGCATTCACATGTAGAGCACTTCAAGCTATTACTGGTAGTTAATTCAGCAGTGTTTAACACATGGCTGGCATGCTGTGCTACTTCACCAGAAAGCTTTGCAGTTTCACCTGTTGTTCCACCACACACACAGGTGCTATAACATTACACTTACCAGCCTAAATTTTTACTTATTTTAAATACAACTCACTAGTTTTTAGCACTAAAGCTCTGCTAATACTGAGTCTGTAAGTAAAGCTGCTTTGGCTCAGGCTTTTCATTACTGATTTGACCTGCTCAAGTCTGTTTTCACCAGTATTCTTGATTTGCATCCAGAAATCACTGATGGGGCATTACTGGGATACAGTCTTTGGCACAGCATTGTCACTACATCAATTAAAGAGTAGTTTTCCAACCATCTTAAAAACATGTGAAAATGTTTTATTCCATGTACAATAATGTACATAATTTTCAGGTGGCCATGAAAGAGACCAGCAAAAATCAGAGGTATATTTACAGTAGCACACACCACAGTAAACCACCACTGTTCACAGACTCAACACTGAGATACTGCTGTTGTGCTTAAGTACAATAACTACAAAGTGATACTTTTATTGTTGGAAGTCAACTTTAAACAAATACCTCACGGCTTTGCAAAGGGCATTATTCACCAAGAGAGTCCGAGTCTGCATTCAGAGTCTCAGTCAATTGCTCTGCCACACAGTCACTGTCTTCCTCCTCACTGTCAGAACTGTCGTTATCCTCATTTACTTCATTTTCAGCATCAGCAGCTTCTTCTGCAGCTTCTACAGGGTTTTCATTGGGTGCCACAAACCCATTGTTGTTGGAAACACTGGCGTTTTCCTTGTCCTCAATGTACACTTTCTGGTGGCACATGGGGCAAGTGTCCTGGATGTACAGCCACTTCCGAAGACAAAGTGCATGAAAGTAATGGTTGCATGGGGTAATGCGAGCAGAGGTGGTGAACTCATGGTAGCAGATTGCACAGACATCATCTATTTCATGTAACCGACTTCCTTTTACCTCTGGAAGCGAGTTTATTTTCTTCACAGCAGTCCGGCGGTTTATAAACGTCTTCCAGCCATTCTTTGCTTGCAGGTAGATGTTGAAGTACGCGTGTAGACACATCATGCAAGCGCGGATCTTGCTGCCTGACTCAAATACCATTGTGTAAGCTCCATTCCCAAACATGATCACTCCAAAGATAAACTCAATAATATTGCCGGTTGACCGAACATAATAGACATAATCATCAAGTTTTTCCCATAGCACATTGTAGTAGCCATCAATCATAAACAGTATATAAACAGTAATAGAAACTATTACTTTGAGGCAGAGCTCGACACAAAATGCCGTCACAGCAAAAAGCCATGTGTTTAGTGCATAGTGGTGCCAGAGGATGTAACTGAGCAGAACTGGGAGGATGAAAAGGCAAGCAGAAACCAACAGGACAGGGAAGTGTCTGCGAAATGACGACACGTGGGAGGCACTGAGAGACATCAGCACAGGGTCTGTCATCCCATGGATAAAATGCAGGACTGCGGTCAACAAAAGGCACATGTTTCTACTCAGGCGAACCAACCGTTCTTCTGGTTTCAGTCCACTCAAACCAGTCTGCAGAGCCAAGATGAAAAACAAGACAGGTGCTACAAACCCCAGCCTCTTGTCATCCTCGTCAGTGGAGCCGATGAAGGCCAAGATGCCGAGCCCCAGGTAATGCGCGATGGAGGAGATGACGGCGCTCATGCCTAACACAGTTAAAGTGGAGTCACACCCACTTATGATCAGGCTGCAGAGCAGTTCCCAGCAGTTATCCCACGATATCAAGAAGAATTTCTCTTCTGTATTAGTTTCAGCCATCTTTACAACATATGTTAATACCACAGCCTGGGCTGTAAGTCTCGTTAGCCAGAAGACACGCAGTACAGCTGGAAACCGAATCCTTTTCCATGTATCCTCCATCAAGAGCTGTAATCCGTAAATGCGATACATGTGCCTCACCAGCAGATAAACATAGCGCACCGAGTAATAGAACCATTTAATTTTCATCACCAAAATGGCTGTGGTGTTTAGTGTCAGAACCAGGCCTGAAATAAAAACTAGTACCTGCCGGACATTTAAAGGTAATTCAACAATCAAGCCAATGACAGGAATCAGTATATCCAGGATGATGAGTTGAGAGTATATGGACTGCATATTCAGCAGTGTAACATACCCAATTCCAAAGGTCAGCTGAAGGATTGAAAGCGCCATCCATAGTGAAGGTCCTTTACGAGGGAAGATCTGGATTCCAAATGCAGCTGTGTAGTAGGCACTGTAGAAGTTTATGTGCAAAGCAGCATAGTAATTCACCAACACTGAAGTTGCAGCCAGCAGGAATGCTGAGGCGATCATATAAAACTTGAAAAGTGCTCGCTGTTGTAAGACCAGAACAACACTGGAGACAAAGACACCTAAAAACAGATTGAAGTCATTTAGTTCTCAGCAGAAATACAACACCAGATTGTAAGCTATGAGCTCTGGAGCTACATTAATTTCATGTATCACTTCCCCATTAGTCACTCATAACTCCGCGTTACCAATGGGGCCCTTTCCAGAACAACAACTTTCATCCTTTCAGAACAGACATCCTTTCCAGAGGATGACTTCAGCTCCGCATTTAATATGCCTGTTCCCTGCAGCTGCAGTGCAAAGCAATGCAAGCAGTAAATCACAATCACTTATTAAGGTCATCTGCAGTCTCAGACCAGAGCAGCGACAGCTCCCAGCAGTTCAGCCTCAGCCCTGAAGTCTAAGGGTAGTTAAATTCTAAAAGCAGAAAAGAATTACCACATTACAGGCAAAATTAATAAAGAATGAATAAAATAGTAAGTCCTCCAATTCACTTGAGCGAAGCACTCAACTACAGATATCCAAGCTGGAGTACTAAAGGTAAGTCACCAGTTTAGCTTAACCCTAATGGGAAAATAGTGAAAACTCACTGTAGTTTCCTGGGGGAAGACGTTGCTCCTCCAATTCCCTTTGGTTTGCTTTCAGTCCTGATAAGATACCATGAAACAGTCTTCAGAGAGAAGACCTTCTGCAGTACAGGTCTTTTGTACACAGAATTCAAACCTGTACCTGCTGCCCCTGCCAGTGTGAACTTGCATCCTCCTTGTCAGACACCAGGTTCAGATCCTGAAATTCCTGTTTGCTCACCTTTCCCTCACACTGACCATGAACACATCTTGGCCATGCCTGGGAAGTCTGTGCCTTCCTATGAGAAATCCTATCATAGCATCTATAATACCTTTGTGTTCTATTTACATCCTTGCAGTAAACTCCTGTAGTGCAGCTTATGAACGTCACTATGTACCACATCCGTAAGGGCTCTGCCCTATCAGGTGTTACATTAAATGGCACTTATCGCTACATTCACTTCCTTAAACATCACCTTCAGAAAACACATTGCTTTTGGTTTTGGCTTCTCAGTCAGCTTCCAGTCACTGCAACTGCTTTCTCTTCCAAACCAGTCTGGGGAGATTTTGACCTCTACAACTTACATTTGATTTTAAGTTTCTTTCAATTTCCATGTGGAAACGAATGAAATCATGAGTAATTCTTTTTTCTACAGGAGGACAGCATCAGTCTTTTCTGATGATTGTATTTTAGATCGCTCCAAATCCTCCATAATCAAGTGTTTAAAAATATATTGTAAGCCATGGGATTTTAAGATCATGGGAATAAAAAACTCTGCTCAGACCCAGCATCTGTTTCCACCAGTAGTGTTGCCAGCTGCTCGCATAAAAACAATAATACAAACAGCAGCCTTGAGGACTGAATGAGACAGGAGAGGGTCAGTGCAAAAGGCCGACTACAAAAGAAGTTATGAATGCACTTTTACAGTATTCCCTGCCAGCAGCACTGGCCGATACAAAAACATTCTCCTTAACTAATCATTAACCTGGTAACCCTGTGGAGTGCACTGAGGAAAAGCCACAGTCAGTTTCCAGAAAGTACCTTGTATCATAGCTCAGCTCTTCCACAAAACCCCCTGAATATTCATGCTTTACACACAGCACTTGTTTTAACATCAGCTGGATGGTTTCACTGCCTTCTGCACACCACACACACGCCTTTGGGAAATGAACAACATCTGACAAGTCAGTCTCCTCTCTTTTCCTGGCAGTCACAGAAAAGGCTCCCAGACTTGTAACTAGCTCCTTATTTATCCAGTTCTGCTCATCTGAGGTAAAGGAGATGCATTTTGCACTGAGCAGGCTGCTCTCAAACACACCTGTTGACAAAGCCTAGTTATCTTCCCTGCAGCTTCAGCAGCAGGCAGGCCTGTGTTTAGGTACTACAGGTCATCTCAGAACACAACCATTTCACTTGTAAGACAGCCCTAAACACAGTACTGCAAGTCAACAGCAGAGTTAGGCCTACTGCTTCCTCTGAATAGGAACTAACAAGGTGCAGCATTTCGCTACCAACACTTGTGTGGAAAAGCCAAGACAACCCAAAGGGACCTCAGAAGACCACAGGAGATAACTGAAATCTCAGAAAGAGAGGTGAGCTCTCCTCTCCCTTGTCTCCATGTCATTCAGTCCATCTTGCCCTGAGAAGTGCTCACCAAGCAGTCCATCTTTTCCCACTTGCCTCTGATGGGAAACGCTGCAGTTCCTCCCTTGGTAAGAGTTGTCTCATGTTTCTGTATATACTGCTGCTCACTTTCACTGTGCCACCCCCTCACCAATTGTCTCTGGTATGGACTCTAACACAGCAGTTAATCAAACCATGAGCAATTCCTTTTAACCCATTTCCACTGTTACAATGAATTCTTGCCCATCATTTCCCCCCCCCCCCCTTTAATTCCTGCCACTCATCAGTGTCTTTATAGTAACACACTGCTGAGGATTCAACTTTCAGTCAGTTGCAGGGCTCAACTACCTTTACACGTCAGTATTTTAAGTGTGTGGAATTGTCAAATTACGTTTCCCCTAGCCCCAGCCATTCCACTTGCTAACACATCTTTCTACAGACTCCAGTATTTACAGTAACCCTTTCTCTGTCCCTGCTGAGGAGGGACTCCTGCCTGAATGACAGTTTCACCTCCTGGGGGTCACTTCTCTGCTGGAATGGGAGTTAAAATACCCATGCCAAGATACAAAAGGTAAACATCACGTTGGAAACAAAGCAAGGTTAATGAGATTAAAGAACTGTGCTCCAGTTGGAGATGTTGGTTTTTGTGCCACGTGTAACTCCATGTATTTGTGTAGAAAATAAGTGAGGGAAGAATGAGACTGGGGAATGCTGCAGTAAAACTTCTTCAGAACCATCCCAGTCTCTGTTCCTGCTCCTGGAGCGCTCTACTCCCAGAGTGTTTCAGCACTGTTCAGTATCACCCCTGAAAGCTATTGATATCTATGGAGCTACAATCTTTCTATCTAGAGAACAAACTGTGTTCATCCTAACTAATACTGTGTTACAGGGAAGACAGGGAATCAGTCTTCCAAAGCCTGCAAATGGTAACTAAAAGGGCAACTTCCCCACTATTTAAATACAGAATGATCCAAAATAAACATTTCCGTTTATCCCAACAGTAGCAAAACCCCAACCCTGTAATCCTTGAATTCAGATGAGGTAAAAATAGATGCAAAAGCACCCTGTTGTCTGAACCACATGGGAGGAACACCATCCTTAAGCGGTTCTGTTTAATTTCTCTTTAATTTCAGAAAGCCAAGAACCACAGCCCACTTGTCTCAAAGTACAAGGTAAGTCCCTTGGCATAAACTGTTCCCAGAGATCTTTTGCAGGAGGCAGGGATTACCCACTTCTCCCAAACCCTTCCAGAAAAGTGATCACATAACTGCAATCCTGAAAAGCACCTTAACCTGTTGATCCCAGTATCACACATTTGAGACCATCATGTAATACATCCACCATTCTTATTTATGTGGGATTAATTTCAAAGCACTTCCTTGAAATTAAAAAAAAAGCTTCTCAATACAATAAGGGACTCCTAAATTAAGCTGGTGAGGCACTGCAGTGTCAGTTTTTTAAATGGAATTACCAGTGGGAAGCACTCTTCACAATTCCCGAACTTTGGAACAAAGGGTCAAGAAAATGGGAAGCTGGGAGACAGCACCCCACCCTCCTCCCGGTGGTCACAGAGCTGTGGGTATCAGCTGCCAGGCCAGGCAAAGGTGAGGCAAGACCTGCTTAGCCTCGCGTCTCACCTAGCAGCCACTTCCCAGGCTCCCACTGCCAAAGGAGAAGCTGCCCAAATAAAGCATCTGCTTTGCTTTGCTGCTTTCTTCTCCCTCCACTCTCAATGCTGTCTTGGGGCGGGTTATCCTTTACTTTTTCGTTCCACTCCTCAGCTTCTACAATGCCATCACCACTGCCTTCTTGCTGTGCACCCTCCCTTTCAACCACTCTTCTCCACTGCCTATCCCAACAGCCATACCACCTATTTCCTTTCCGACTATTAAACATCAAACAAAACACAGAATCAGCATGCCACAGGCCTGCAAAAAGCTCTTGCTGTGTTTTCTATTCTCCCTTCCTTTCTGTCTCAGCATTCCCAGCTCCAGACGTGATAATCCAATGCAGCATCACCTCTACAGCAGTTCACAGAACCGAGTCTACGTAAGAACCCAAGATAACAATACCGAAAAAGTACCACCTAGTCACACCAATGATTTTCAATCCCAGGCTATTAAGAATAACCATGAGCAAGTTTAAAAGACTTCTTTCTCATTTGGGCACCAAATACCCGGCATTTCTGAATTGCTGCTCCTAACCTAAGCGTTTAACAGCGGATTTCAGGAGATACCACAATGTGCTTGAAAACAAACAAAACCCTACAGCCCCGGAGCCCCACGTTTTCCGCCATGGAAGCCCGCAGGGGGGACTCATGGCCCCCATTCCCCGTGCACATGGCGAGCGGCGCCCTTCCGTCAACGGCCGCAGCCCGCGGCTCGGCTTCCCCCGACTGCGCCTCCCGACAGCGACAATGCCGGGGGGGGGGCCGGCAGGCAGGAGGAGCCGGCCCCGCGCCGGGACTCGGGGGACGGAGGCTGGGTGGGGAAGCGGAAACCGAGCGGGGATCAGGGAGATGATCCACGCGAGCGCGGACTTGGGGGAGCCCAGGGCAGGGGAACGGAGGCGGCAGGAAGGGGACAGAGCCGGGTGGGGTGGGGGGAAGGCAGGCCGCGACAGCAGCCGACTACAGGGCTGAGGGGACGGGGGAGGGAAGCGGCGCCGCGCCCCGCCGGCGGCCGTGAATACCGCCAGCGAGGTGGGCAGCAGCGAGGAGGGCCCAGGCCCGGCGGGGTGCCGACCCCCAGCGCCCGGCCGGCGGCGAAGGGCGGCGGGGCGGGAGGGGAAGGTGTCTCACCCAGCAGCCGCAGCAGCACGCCCAGGAGCGCGGCGCACAGGGACCCCCCCGGCAGCGGGGACGAGTTGAAGATGGCGTCGATGAGGAACAGGCTGGGCACCCGCAGCGCGACCTCCAGCCCGGCCCGCAGCCGCGGGCCCAGCCGCAGCCACGGGAGCTGCGGAGGGCCCGAAGCCGCCATCCCCTGCGAAGGGGGCCCGCAGCCCCCTTTCTCCCGCCTCTCAGGGAGCGGAGGGGTGGCTGTGTGGGGAGGTGTGGCGGCCGCAGCGCTCGCTACCGCCCCGCGCCCACCGTCCGGGCCCCCCGCCACGGCGCCGCCGCCGCCTCCATGTTCCTCTGCGCTCCCTCGGCAGCGCCGGCCCCAGCCGGGCCGCGGGGGCGGGGCAGGGTCGCGCGGGCGTCGCATGCGCGGCTCCGCCCCTGGCCCCAGGGAGGAGGTGGCTCCGTGGCCTACCCGGCGGCTGTGGGCGCTGTCCGGGGTCCGTGCTTCTCCTGGGGCGTGTTTGGGGAGCGAGCAGACACCATCTGCCATTCCATAAAACACACCCACGGGCCCGTCCATCACGTTCGTACAACTTCTGCAGCACAAAGAGCCTTTTTCTCGTAATTCCGGGGCGTTGTTTGTCCCGCCGCGGGTTCATCCCGCCCCGAGGCCTGCGGGAGCGCTGAGGTAAATCCTGCCCCGCCGCGCAGTGAGGCGTTCACCTGGGGCAGGAATGAGCTGTTAATGAGGGAGGGGTGCACGGAGCGTCCTGTCCGGGGGTGTGTGAGGCAAAAGCGCTCTCTTGCTAAGCGCATGGCCACAGACAGCGATCGTGTGGGGAAAAAAGGTATTTTCCTCTGAAACCTGTTTCCTCCCTCATGCATCTTTACAGAAGACACAGATATAGGGACTATTAGAAACTTCAGGCTGACTTGATAAATATATTAAAAACCAAATTAAACGCACACGTGTAAGCAACGTTAGTCCATCCGAAAAGAGCATTTTGCACGCCATCGCTTGGGCAAATCAAACCCCGCTTCAGGCCACCCCTGCCTGTTGTGTGCCTGTTGGCATCTGCCCTGCTGGCCTGTGCCAGTGTCCGCACCAGCTCCACCTGCCGCAGCTCAGCCCTCTCTTCAGCCTCGATAGTCCATGGCTTAAGCCCTTGGAAGTCCTATTGTGTTCAGAGGATTTTGGATCACCAGCAGCAGTACTGCACAGGAACTGTCCTCAGCAGTGTCCTGCGCTAACAAAGCCAGAAATGTTGCCGGATTGCTAAAGGATTGTATTACAAAATCCATAGACAAAGTGTAATCGCATGCTGAAAGTCGTAACTCTGACCTAGTAAGTATCCCCGTGCCAAATAACAGAAGCTAGGGTTTAAAATGTCAAAAGTGCTTGTTTGACTTAGATTTGAATCACAGTGATTCGGACTTGCCTGAATAATTTTACTCCTCAATCAAGTATAAGATGCTGGATATAAATGAAAGTATTTGATTTGAAATTAAAAGAGCTGTAAATCAAGCAGTTCTGCGTACTTGAATTCCCTGTCCTCCCGAGCCCCTTTCAACTTCATTTAATATCCTCATCAGTAAAGGGGATCTTAAATCTGTTTTGGTAGACTTCAGGATCAGAGGTGATGCTGTAATACATATTTATATCGCTTCAAGGACATGTGGAGTAAATGGAATCCATTAAATGGATTTTCAGGTCTAAATACGTGCATTTACAGGCATATTTTACAGATGTTATTTAGGCATGTAAGTACAGTCATGGGTATCTGCAAATTATTTTGTGCATAAGCAGTTCCAGGTTGCAAACATACCAGAAATCCTAGTGCTAGTGGAACATATCAGCTCAGTCTAATACATTTCTTTACACTTGTTCTTCAGTTCTTAAACACTTGTGGCAGTGTTTAAGATTCCTTCTTTTCATTTAAATTCAATAAAAAGAATCAAAACTCGATTATCCTGTGTACAAGATATAGGAAGATGACACCTACTGGAGGTTTCTAATTTTGCAGTTTGCACTACAGAGTTTCAAGTGAGGAATAATAAACCCGATTCAACTTTATAACACAAGCTTACCTCTACTGAATTCACTTCAGTTATATATATATAAATCGAAGAAAACCCCTATTCTTTACTGTAAGGGTGGTGAGGCACTGGGATGGGTTGCCCAAGGAAGCTGTGAATGCTCCATCCCTGGCAGTGTTCAAGGCCAGGTTGGACAGAGCCTTTGGTGACATGGTTTAGTGTGAGGTGTCCCTGCTCATGGCAGGGGGGTTGGAACTGAATGATCTTAAAGTCCTTTCCAACCCTAACTATTCTATTATTCTATTCTATGATTCTGTTTCTAGGGTTTAATATAGGCTCAACATCTTCATAAATTTGGGCATTAAATCCTAAGTGCATTCATATTAATACGATATAAAAAACGTTTTCTCAGCTGGGGACTTCTGCAAGCTCTTGTTCATAAACAAATGAACAAATTAAGCAGAAAGTTCTTTTATTTATCTATATAGATTAACTGTTAAGGGCAAACAGTCCTGAACTGCAAGGTGAAGGTTGTTCCACGTATCACTGTGGCAGTGTGTACCTGACTTGGTAAGCGTGTCAAGTGTCAAGCCCACACCCCGTGACAAGGCAGTACAAAAGAACATGCCCCGAGGAGCAGTTTCATAATAAATAAGCACTTAACACACAAAAATGCTTTCCAAATAATTTAGTACACGTCCAATATCAGGCTCTGAGTCAGAAAGGTGCAGATCAGTTCATTTCAGTGGCAAATAGAAGTCACTACAGTCCATTGACGTTCTGTGCGGTATGTGGCAGGAGTTTGGGGGTTTACTCTTAGTTGTGTAAAAACAACTTTGGTGGGGTTTTTTGACAGCTCAGAGTGGTCAAAATTCATATTTTTTCAAAAACTATTTACATTTTTCAAATCGAGATGTTTAGAACAAAAGGAACTGCATAACTACACATCATCAGTGCAGCCTTTGGTGCTTTCTGTGAGCTACAGCTGTGTAAGTAGCATGTGCTGAAATCAGTGGACACGGAGCAATCTTTGTTAGCTTATGGAATGGTAGGATCATGTCATGGAAGGTGTTCCTTCCCATGGCAGGGGGTCTTTAAAGTCCCTTCAAGTCCAAACCATTTTGTGATTGTATAAGAGTTTCAAGTCTGCCCATGCCGCATTTAGGGTCTGTACCCATATATGATGGCCACATCTATACCTACTTTTTGACAAAACAACTTCTGAGTTTTTCAGACTCCTCCTTTTGCGTAAGTGCTGTTATGAGCCATTCAAGACAAAGGCTTTATTGGATTAATGCCAATGTTCACATCAGTATTACAAAATCACATGGTCTTGCAAAAGCCGCTTTTTGTAAGTAAGAAGACTAAATATGCAGGGGAGGTTTTAGAGTACTGTTTTTCTTCTAACTACAAGGTCTCAAAAAGCTTTAAATAGACATGATACCTTTGCCTTGAAACACCACATGTCAATTTTGCCTAATACAACAACAATGCATTTTGTAAGAATGAAAACAGCTGGCTGCTGAGAAAAACTGTGCAAAATGTGCATGCCAAAAAAGTGTTTTAGTTTGCAATGAATGTAGCAATCCATTAACTATTTCCACATTTAGTATCTGCTTCCCAGATACCTTTAGCAGTGAATTACCCAATACCATTTTGCATTCCTTATGTAAGAATAAAGCTCTGTACAGTATGTCTTTAATTTTGTCACAACAGCTTTTAATTACAATCAGGATGTCTATATTTTGCACTGAAACAAAACCCAAGAGTCACTGAAGGAATCTTAAGTGGGTTTTCTTCTCCCAGGATGATTTTCTAGCATGAAAAAGACCAATCTGTATTTTTAAACAGACAAATACTGGTGGTTTATTAGTGTAGGCTTTGGGGGGCTCCGCAGTGGGTGACACTTAGCTGTGCTTTTGGAAGCTGCCCATTGCATCCTGCAAGGACAGCTTGTGCAACTAATTCTGCACACTGGAATGCTGCATTCAGGCGTTGTCAGCATGTGCTGCTAATGAGAATGACCTGGCAGCTAGTGCATATAGAGGCACAGACTTTCATACACCTAACTTGCTGTTCTGCAGTTTGGTATCGATGCCCTTTAAGGCTGAGAAAGCTGGGTTTTTCTGACTTGAAAAAAGAAGGCTCAGGGGAAACCTTATCCCATGTTCCAGTAACTAAAGGGTGGCGAAGAATATAGAGACTCCCTTTTTACAAGGAGTCACATGGAAAAGACAAGGGGTGATGGGCACAAGTTACTCCTGGGGAGATTTCAACTGAACACAAGAGGAACATTTTTTACAGTGAGAACAATCAGCCGTTGGAATTATCTCCCCAGGGAAATGGTGGATTCTTCAGCATTGAACACTTGTAAGTTCAGCTGGACTGGGTGCTTTGCCTAGAAAGGTTGGACCAGATGATCCTTGAGGTCCCTTCCAACCTGGTATTCAACAGTTCTACAATTAAAGACACCAGTAGTCTTTACCCAGGAATAGTTTATGTCTTCTGAAGAGAAAATAATCAAATCAAGGTAAGATTTGAAAAGTGAAGGTAAAACCTGTAAATATTGTAATGGAACCTTTTCAATATATTAAGAATTTCCTTATAAAAATCAGTGTGTTTAATATTAATTATTGTTTTAAGTTTGGGGTTTATTCCTTCTTTGATGCTGAATGCCATGAACTTAGATAGCATTTCTTAGAAGAAGCTAAGAAAGCAGAAGGCAATTTACTCATAGTGAGTTTTGGACAAAACAGATCATAACGACTATGTTGTGTGAAAGATGGATTTTGATTTCACATCTGTGTGACATGTCTGTAACCTAAGAGCACTCACTGTGTTTCCCTCAGTGGGAGGATGGCAGATTTATGTTTGTTATTTGAAGAGAATGCTCACTTGGGAAGTTGACAATGCCTCAAGAGTTTTCTGCCTTGGCAAAGCAGAGTCAAAGCACAGGGGTGAGTCTTGGGTCATCCTGACAGGAAATGACAGACATCCAGGTGCATGAGGAAAATCTCCCAATTCTATAATTGTCCCCATATTCCTTTAATGACAAACTTTCTCTTTAAAGAGATGATTGCAAAGAAATGCATTAGGCCTTGTTGTTTATGGTTCACAGTTTTCAGTAAAACTGTGCAGAGAAAGAGCCTTACAGGTCTTTGCTGAGAAAAAAGTGTGATAAGGTTATGAATTATATTAACAGTTGCTTACTGGCATATTTCTCTTATTTCCTAACTATGACTGTCATACTTAGCAAGGAGACAAGAAAAGAAAAAGACACAGGGTACATATAGGGACTGCAGCCCCTTCCTGGCATCCCTCTGGCTACAGGGAGATGTGCTGCAGGCCTCTCTGTGGTGAGGACAGCAGACATGGACAACACAATCCAGCTGCCCAAGGTGCCATGCTGAGGGCAGCACTCACTTCTGGATTTCTTGGCTCTGGCTCTCCTCTGTGCTGGGGCCATAGGGAAAAGGGCCACTTCAGATCACTCCTCCCTGATACATCACTGACACTGCTGTTGTTCTGTTTTCCAAGAGCATACATGAAGCAATGTCTGTCTGTCTAAAGTGCCACACACATTGTGGCTTCTGCCACAGAGGTTTACCTTCCTTTCCAGAGCTGCCAGCTAAGTGTTTCTGACCTGATTTAAAGAGTTAACTGAGCAAGCAAAAAGAAAGAATGAGTAACAATCCTTTCTTTTATTACTGCCAAGTATGTATCTTCTCTTGCCATGATTTTTTTTATCATCTTGCTCGAGATGGGCAATATTTATTTATGTGCTTGCCTGTTTCTCCCCTCAATACTGTTATCAATCAATAGTAGAAAAGACAGCATGCTTTACTACAGATCACACAGTCAAAATAACTACAATGCTAAAGTAGTAAAATACATTTAAAGTATCAGAGCAGATGTTAGAAATTTGCCCTAGCAATTGATATTCATAGAATCATAGAATAGTTAGGGTTGGAAAGGACCTTAAGATCAACTTGTTCCAACCCCCCTGCCATGGGCAGGGACACCTCACACTGGATCATGTCACCTAAGGCTCTGTCCAACCTGGCCTTGAACACTGCCGAGGATGGAGCATTCAGAGATTCCTTGGGCAACCCATTCCAGTGCCTCACTACCCTCACAGGGAAGAGCTTCTGCCTTAGATCTAACCTGAACTTCCCCTGTTTAAGTTTGAACCCGTTACCCCTTGTCCTGTCACTACAGTCCCTAATGAAGAGTCCATCCCCAGCATCCCTATATGCCCCCTTCAGATACTGGAAGGCTGCTATGAGGTCTCCACACAGCTTTTCTTCT